AGCCTCAGGAGCCCAAAAGTGACGACAGTTACAGGTTTGAGGGTGACCCGCTTCGGATTCGAACATGAAGTGCGGCCCCCGTAGGGAGAGGGTGCTCCTGCCTGAGACTTCGTCACAATTCACTCACAGACAGGGCTCCCGCCTAAGATTTCCTCCATGTTCTGGCCTCAGGAGCCTGAAAGTGACGACAGTTACAGGTTTGAGGATGACCCGCTCGGATTACCAACATGAAGTGCGGGACCCATAGGGAGGGGGCTCCCGCCTGAGACTTCCTTGCAAGTCACTCACGGACAAGGCTCCCGCCTGATACTTCCCCCATATTCAAGCTTCACGAGCCCAGAAGTGATGAGAGTTTCAGGTTTGAGGATGACCCGTTCGGATTACCAACGTGAAGTGCCGGCCCAATAGTGAAGAGGCTCCCGCCTGAGACTTCCTCGCAATTCATTCACAGACGTGGATTCCGCCTGATACTTCCTCCATACTCAGGCCTCAGGAGCCCAAAAGTGACGACAGTTACACGTTTTGGATGACCCGCTCGGATTACCAACATGAAGTGCGGCCCCCATAGGGAGAAGGGGCTCCCGCCTAAGATTTCTTTAGAATTCACCCACAGACGAGGTTCCCGCTTGGTACGTCCTCGAAATTCTGGCCTCAGGAGCCCAAAAGTGAAGAGAGTTACAGGTTTGAGGATGACCCGCTCGGATTACCAACATGAAGTGCGGGACCCATATGGAAGGGGGTCCCGCCTGAGACTTCCTCACAATTCATTCACAAACGAGGCTCCCGCTCTAGGCGTCCTCCATATTCCTATTAGGGAGTGAGTGATGACGAAGTGATGAGTGAGCGAGTGGTGATGAGGATGATGTTGTTGTTGTTGATGATGATGATGATGATGATGATGATGATGATGATGAGTGACAGGATGGTGGTGATTGTGTTGATAAGGATGAAGATGGTAATGGTGATGATTGATCGAATTATGGTGATGTGACTGATGATGAGGAGTTCAATGGTGTACGTGTGTATGAGTGTGATGATTATGATGATGGTGACGATGACGAGGATGATGATGAGTAGTGACGATGGGTGGTGATGATGATGGTGAGTGAAGGGGTGCGGGGGTGATGATGGTAGTGATGACCAGGATGATGATGAGTGATGATGACTGATGATGATGACGGCCAGAGAGAGGAAGAGAAAGAGAGAGGAAAAAAAAAAGAGAGAGAGGGGGGTGAGGAGATCCTGCGCGGAGGGTGTCCAGAAAAAACAAGAACCCCACTTAGGATGTGGGGAAAATAGTTCAAGATAGTCTGGGGACAGTTTTCTGAGTATGTTTTTCCATTTTTGATTACTGGTTGACCATTTTTATTTTTCGTCCACAATCCGCCTGTAGGAGGACACGCCCGATCTAACTCAATCCCCACGTTAACCTGTCGGGATTGGGCCCGTTCGGTTGACCATCCGGCTGCCGAAGGGGCTCAGACGCCGAAAGGGCACACAAGGGAACCCTGAGGGGGATGAGGGGGGAGGGGGATGGAGAGCCCCAGTTTCTTCTCGTGGTGAAAGAAATCGCGACGGTCTGATTTGGGCAGTTTTCTGTTTCCACTAGGCCCCGACACCATTAAGAAACAGCTCAGGATGAGACGCCGGCGCCCAGATAGAAGTCCAGATCTCCTGGTGCCCATGGTACGAAAAATGACGATGCCAGAGTTCTGGGAGAGTGGAGGAGGATGGATGGCGAGGAGAAGAGAGCTCAACAGGGAGGAGTAAGCGTAATCAATCAGGAGGAGGAGGAGGAGGAGGAGGAGGAGGAGGACATATGGGAGGCGCGGAGGACAAGGATAATCCGAGGGGGGGGGCGGAGGAGGGGTCATCGGGGAGGACGGCAGGGGGAGGGATAATCAGGAGGGGAAACCCGCGTTTTTCCCCCGCCTCGTTTCCGCCTCCGTTCCCCCCTCCCCCCCGTCCGCCTCCGCCGCCTGCCACTGCCGCGTGGGGAGAGAGGGGGGGGGGGAGGCGTCCTGGGCCCAGAGCGCCGCCGCGAGGTGGACAGGGAGGACCTGCTGGACCAGCACGTGGGCTACTACCTGCGCCACCACCCCGAGGCGGGGAGCCCCGCCCCGAGGGAGGCGCCGTCCTTCCCGGGGGGGGTGCGCCCTGGCGGCAGGGCCAGGGGCGCCGAGGCGAGGAGCACCGTGGGCTCGAAAGTGAACCCAGTGGAGGAGGAGGAGGAGGAGGAGGAGGAGGAGGGAGGGAGGAGAGGAGGAGGAGGAGGAGGAGGAGGAGGAGGAGTGAGGAGAGGAGGAGGGGAGGAGGAGGAGGAGGAGGAGGAGGAGGAAAAGGAGCAAAAGGAGGAGGAGGAGGAGGAGGAGGAGGAGGAGGAGGAGTCTCCGCTCCCCCGAAGGGGGGGCCATGGGGACTTGCCGCTGCGAGCCCACACCGCTCGCCGCGCGCGTGGGTCGCCAGGGGGGCGCCGCCGACGCTATCTAGGGTACGGGGTCGCCTTCGAAACATCAGACTGGCGGCCGTTGTCGCCCCCTGGAGGCCCTCGCCGGCGCCGGGCCGATTGTCGGAGAAGGACCCGCCGGGCCCCAGGACCGCCGGGCCCTGCAGAACGGGCCCAAGCCCCCGGGGTGTCCACGTGCTGACAAGCAGCAGCAGCAGCAACAGCAATAGCTTTCAGACTGATCGCTCTTACCTGCTCGCGTGCCAGCCAACCCGTATATCCCAAACCCTCGGTACCAGCCCTCGTCGTCTTCGACCCCCCTGGGGGGTAATTTTCCTTCCCTGCCGCGCGTCATCGGCGCAGCCCTCGAAACACGGGAAGAGAGGACGGATGGAATTGGGGGGGAGAGGGATGGAGCACGGGATTAGCAGCAGGGGGGCTAGGAGCAGAACGCACGTGGCAGAACCAGACGGGCCCTATCGAGTGGGTAGACTCCAACAGGCGGGTCGGGAAGGCGGGCCCAAGCGGCCAGGTCGAGTAGGCGGGTTGCTGAAGCGTGAGTATTTGCATGAGTCGCGAGGAGTGCTCGATCGATGCCCAAGTAAATCCCGGCAAAGGCCGAAACGAGAACGCGATTCATGAGTGTCGAGCGCGCGGCGTTTGAACAAAGTGCGAGAAAGTCCGACGCGAGAGCGCGATTCCTGCATAGTGAGGAAGTCCCGCGCGAGAGCGCGATGTGGGAATAAATTGTGAGAAAGTATCAGGCGGGAACCGTTGCTGTTGTTACTCGGCGGCCAGGGGAGCAATTTGGTGACCCCTCGCAACTTGGTGGCCGGGTGCGAGCCCAGGAGGAGTATTGTATTGCATTTGACGAAAATCCATGTGCCCTGGATGGGGGACCAATAACATGTGGCACGTGTGCTATAGCTTTTGCACAAACAGGAAGGGGGAGGAGGAGGAGGGGAAGAGGGGGCAAGACATCGCCTCTCGGGGCCCAGCACCGGGGCCCAAATCCCATGTGGGGAAGGGGGGGAAAAGGTGGTGTGTGTCGCGACGCGGAATAAACTGCTCGCAGCAGTAGGGGCACGGGGCGGAGGTTCCACTGGGGCGTTGGGGGCGCGGGGAGGAAGGGGGGGAGGTGGTGTGCGTCGCGACGCGGAATAAATGGTCGGGGCGGAAGGGGCATTGGGCGGGGCTTGGGGCAGAGGGCCACGGGGCGGGGGTCCAACTGGAGCGCTGGGGACGGGGGGGGGGACGGGGGGAGGTGGTGTGCGTCGCGACGCGGAATAAAGTTATCGGGGCGGAGGGCCACGGGGCGGAGCCCACACTGGGGCGCTGGGGGCGCGGGGAGGGAAGTGGGGGAGGTGGTGTGCGTCGCGACGCGGAATAAAACGTTCGTGGCGGAGGGGGCAGTGGGCGGGGCTCCCGTTGGGGCGCTGGGGACGCGGGGGGGCTCGGGGCAGAGAGCCACGGCGCGGGGGTCCCACTCTGGCGTTGGGGACGCGCGGGGAGGGGGGGAGGGGGCGACGCGGAAGAAAGCGTTCGTGGCGGAGGGGGCAGTGGGCGGAGCTCCCGCTGGGCGCTGGGGGCGCGGGGGGGCTCGGGGCAGAGAGCCACGGCGCGGGGGTCCCACTCTGGCGCTGGGGACGCGGGGGGGGGGGGGCGATGCGCGCGGAATAAAGTGGTCGGAGCTCTAAACACCCTGTGCAAGAGAATAATTATTAGGAAGAAGTGAGAATTCACCAACAACAGCAATCATTTTAAGACGGTCCGCTCGTATTTTCTCGCGTGACACTCAAGAGGTATACCCCAAACCCTCGATACCCGCTTCCTTCGTCTTCGATCGTATCCCCTTGGGGGTGTATGTTTTATCACCTGCTGCGTGTTAAGGATTCCCTAAGGATTTCCCTAGGGATTCCCTAGAGCCCTGGGAATTCCTCCGGATTTCCTTATGCTTCCTAGGGATTCCCTCGGGATCCCTAAGGATTCCCTCGGGATTCCTTCAGGATTCCCTAAGGATTCCCTGGGGACCTCCCCGGGGCCAGCACAGGCGGCGGCACACCTGTGTGCGCGACCGCCGTCGTGGAAGAAGCTCTGGCGGAATTTTCCGCTCGGGAGAGGCGTCGCTCGGGGCCGGCTGGGGCGTTGCTACACCTAGGCGCGCGGCCGCCTGACTGGAAGGACGCCCCGGGGCCGGCAGAGGCGGCGGCAGTCCTGGCGCGCGAACGCTTTCAGATGGTGCTGGCTGAGAATGTGCACGCCCCGGTGTGCCAACCTCTTTGCCGGCCCCAGCCCGGGGCCAGCAGAGGGGTTGCTACGTTGTTGTTGTCGTTGAACCCTCACTTCTGAAGAATAGTTATTGTTGATCCCCCTTCACCAGTGCATATTGCTTGTTCTCTGTCAAACTGTGCCCCTCGACGCTCGCACCCTGTTGTTTGACATGGAAAGTCTTTCCAATTACACGTGGCCAGGAAGGAATATGACCCCCCCAAAGGGTACGATCGAAGACGAGGAGGGCGGGTATCCAGGCTTTGGGATATGCATAGTGAATCACACGCGGGCCGGTAGGAACGAACAGTCTTGGAATGATTGTTGTTGTTGTTGTTGCTGTTGTTGTTGTTGTTGTTGTTGTTGTTGTTGTTGTTGTTGTTGTTGTTGTTGTTGTTGTTGTTGGTGTGTTAGTTTCAGTGTTAGTGGTGGTGGTGTTGTTGTTGATGTTGCTGCTGCTGCTGTTGTTGTTGATGTAGCTGCAACTCGGGGGGCAGAGGCGCAGTTTGAGGCGCAATCTATTCCGTGGTAGAAAACCAGGGTGCGAGCCGCTGGAGGGGCACTTCAGTTTTCAAACACTAGGTGCACTGGAGGGGAGAGATCAACAATAATCATTGCGAAGGCATCAGGACCGGCGCCGCCGACCCGGAAGGGGGACGACGACCACGACCACGACCACGACCACGACGATGACCACGACTACGACCACGACTACGACCACGACGACGACGACGACGATGCTGACGTGGGTCAGAGTCCTCAGGGATTCTGTTTGGGTCTCTTCGAAGCGCTTTCGGGGACCTCTGGGGGGCAGGTTTGGAGGCTCCTTGGGAGCATCTTAGGGCTCCCTTGGGGCCTCTTGGAGCCTCTTGGGGGCCTTTGGGGGGCCTCGTGGGGCCTCCTGGGAGCCTCTCGGGGCCGAGGGCTCGAAATGTCCGTTTGGTTCCCCTGTCTGAGCACCCTCTTGGAGCCCTCTTGTGGGCCCCTGGGGCCGTCTTGCAGGCGTCTTGGGCCGTCTTCGGGCTCTCTTCGGCCCGTTTCGGGATCCTCTGGGAGGCCTCTTGGGGCGGTCGTTTGAATTTCTGGTTGGGCCGTTTTGGAGCGGCGGGGCTCTCGGGGCGTATTCCAGCCCTCCTGGGCTGTCTGGAGGCAGTGAAGACGACGACGACGACGACGACGACGACGACGACGACGACGACGACGACGACGACGACGACGACGACGACATCGACGACATCGACGACATCGACGAAGACGAAGACGAGTCAAACGGAACAGCCTCTTCCACACGCCAACAGGGTCGGCGCATGTTTTGGAGCAGCACAATGGCGTCGGTACTTGGGGCTGGCTGCGGCGGCATGGCGCGCGCTCGCCCCGCCCGCGCGGCGAGTGCGGCGGCGTCGAATGCGGCCGCTGCGGTCTGCCACCTCGAGGCAGGGGGAAGGGCTGGTGATCCTCAGGGCCTCAGCTGCCCCGATACGCCCGTGCTGAAACGCAGCACGTGCCGTGTTCAAAGCGTGCGTGTTAACACGATGCTTGATGGCTCGGCACGTGTTGGTCCACGTTTTGGCGAACCTATTGCGCCAAATCTGCGTGTTGAGCCCCGTGTCAACACGCTACGTGTCGCGTGTTGCGTATCGGGGCAGCTAGGCTCAGGGCGCGTGTTTACCCAATGTGTGTTTATCCCGTCTGACAGCACGTAGCCTCTGTCAGCTATCATTGCGCCGCCCGCGTCGTCCTGACGGGATACGGTGGCAGTCGCATTTCCGACCGTAGCCGTTGTGGCTCGCGGCAAGATCACACAACTGACACACCTCCCCATCATGCTGTCATACAGTGGCCTGCGGCAGATCCCGCCACCGTGCATTCGAAGCCTTCAGGGTGTCGCCAAGGAGGGACCTCCAGGGGGCCTCTGGGCTGCTCCGGGCAACTCCCGCGGAGTCTCCAACGAGACTCTGGGGTCGCCTCGGGTGGGACAGGTCGCCCCCTCTCCTCCTCCTCCTCCTCCTCCTCCTCCTCCTCCTCCTCCTCCTCCTCCTCCTCCGATTGGCTCTACCGATGGGAACGCAGCGTTCCCAACTCCGTGAGCCTCGGGGCGCTCCACGCGCCATGGCAGAGTGGCGGCGGATCGGGCTGAATCTTCCTGACCCTGTCCACGGTGCAAACCATGGACAGGTTGTTGATGGCGTTGCTGGTGGCTCTGCCGATCATCGAGCCGACCACACACGTGGCAACAGCACTGACCCTTGCCCCGCGCTCCTCTGCAGGTGTTTCGGTGGTCTTCGGCATCGAGGCCTCGAGCGGCGATGTATGGACAAACCAGGTACAGGCGCAATTGGAAACTTGGGCAGCGAGCGTTCCCAAAGAGCACATCGTGATTGTAGGCGGCGC